AACACCCCAGCATTCACTTCTCTTACAACCCCATCTATAAATATATTAAACAACCACGGTGACATCACACATCCTTGTCTAAGGCCTACTTTTACTGGGAAATAATTTCCCTCTTTCCTACATACTCTAACTTGAGCCTCACTATCCTCGTAAAAACTCTTCACTGTTTTCAGTAACCTACCTCCTACACCATACACCTGCAACATCTGCCACATTGCCCCTCTATCCACCTTGTCATACGCCTTTTCCAAATCCATAAATGCCACAAAAACCTCTTTACCGTATGTCTATCTATCTCTGTCTATCTATCTACATACGTCTATTGACAGTGTAAAAGTCCTGAGATCACCAGACCTTCAGTCAGTGTGCTAAACCTGTACGAGCCATACAACACTGCTCACCCATATGTTTCACTGTAAACACTTGATCTAGACCACACCCCCTACCCTTTCTAAAGCCTCCTTGTTCATCAATAATAATAATAATAATAATAATAATAATAATAATAATAATGTTATATTACTTTTATCGTTATTATTGATTTTATTATTGCTGTTATTATTATTATTTATTATTATTATTATTATTATTATTATTATTATTATTATTATATTATTATTATTATTATAATACTTTCACTTCATGCCAAAATCTCTTAGAACTTGTCTAAGAGATATTTAACGAAGTAATGGGGGCCAGTCGTTAAGTGATGGGGCAAACCATTAACTAAGAGGGTGGTTAATGGCGCACACTTTGGTCTAATGGCCACACCTGGTTCCATCAACACTAATAATCCTGAACACTAATCACGAACCCCGATAATCAATAATCCCTTAAATCCAGCCTATTAACTGAACTCTAACAAGCAATGAGCTGTCAGGTAATTAGAGAGCCAAGGTCTCCCGTAACTCGATCACTAGCGCTCTCAGTTCACATACTGAGGTCCTCGGTTTGATCCCCGGTACGGGTGGAAATATTAGGACGTGTTTCCTTAAGACACCTACTGACCATGTTCACCTAGCAGTAAGTAGGTACCTGGGTGTTAGCGGACTGGTGTAGGTCGGATCCTGGAGACAAAACTGACCTAATTTACGGGAACTGCTCTGCATAACAATGTATAAGTTGTATCATGTAACTAGAAATAGAGATATTATTATTATTATTATTATTATTATTATTATTATTATTATGGTTAGCATTTAGTAGGTAAGTTTTTATCTAGGTATTATCGGCCACTTCCCCCATTCCTTCCCCCTCCCTCCCTCTCTCCCCCTTTATCTCTCTCTTCCCCCACCCCCCTCGCTTTCCTTATCCTTCCCTTTCTCCCTCTCTTCCACTCCCTTCGAGTGGGAATCTTGACCGTCCCCCAGTAGCACTATCGAGTCCTGCTGACTGCGATCTTTGCATTTACTCGCCCTGAGGAGCTGGATGAGATTTTAGCATTATAATCAGTGACAAACACGTAACAATATGTACTAAACATGTATCTCTCACACCTCATGTACTGTATATGCCATCTTTATATCAACAATGTATCTCGCGTCTAATAAATATATATATATATATATATATATATATATATATATATATATATATATATTATATATATAATATATATATATATATTAGCCCGTGTGCGTGAGGCTCTACGACAGCCACCTGCGCTGTAGATAAGGTTAAATGGTGTGGATTATGGCACGGGGTGGCACCCACACCCTATATTGTTTTATCAAAACAACACTGGTTCATCTCCCGCCAATTAATTCTCGAACACTGCTGGTGGCAACACTCATCAACGTCATCGATGTTCGACTTTTATCAATTCGCTTCTCGGCTGACTTCGTACGCTATTATTTTCTTAAACTAACTCCCTTGCGAGTGACGTAAAGACTCTTCCAACAGGTTATGTCAAGAGATGGGCTGGAATGTGGGTGTCTGTGGGTGAAGTGTAATGATAAAAGAGGTAGTATGTTGGTAAGAGGAAGCAGAAGCCAGAAGTCGACGGTGTGGACGAGTTGGTGGTAGTAATCCCGGGTAAATTCATCCTAGACATGAGCCAACCATAATGCCACCCACACCAGTAATTTAGTGGCGCGTAAATTTGGCGACACCTTTTCGGATGACCGATTTATAGATCATTGCTGTGCGTCTCAGGTTATATTTTATGATAGGGTCGTCTCCTGCCTTTGATTATGAGAGGGAAAACGGGCAGAATTATCGGCTGAAGGAGGAGGATGTGTCAGAAGCTAAAATAAATGACGTAGAGCCGGAGGAAGAGGAGAAGAAAATCAGGAATGATAGTGGAGACAGCGGCGACCACTGCCCCTTAACCACCACCACAACCCCACCTTCCCCTTAAATCACCCCCTAACACACAATTTCATAAGAGAATATACACACAAAAAAAAGGTCTTTGGAAAATTAAGATAGATGGAGGGTAGGTGGGAGAGGAGGGATACTCTCGTTGTAGTGTGGCAGCTGCACCCTGGTCGTTTAACCTCCCCCGCTCGTTAATTGACTCAACTAACTAATGGAATAATCTGTCAAACATCTTAATTGAAAAAGATAGCGATGACCACACGGCGCAGGGGGATATATTAAGAGAACTGAGGTGAGACACATACACACACTAAATATCTTATATTAGCATTTAAAATACAAAGTTTGGTTGATTTGACGTATGTATTTTGTATTAAATACTGAGTGTATGAGAGAGAAGAAAGTATTATGTATGGGAGGTGTATAGTTGATTTTTTTCTATATATACAGTTGCTGGTACATTGACAACACACACACACACACACACACACACACACACACACACACACACACACACACACACACACATACACACACACACATCACACACACACACACACACACACACACACACACACACACACACACACACACACACACACACACACACACACACACACACACATACATACATACACACATACACAACAGCGACCAGCGAAGAGGTGGGGCCAGGAGCTATGAATCGACCCTTGCAACCACAAATAGGTGAGTACACACACGAATCATTACAGCTCTAAAGAGGCGAGGATAAACAGACACGGAACAACAAACCGCAGTGAGTTTCATTAACACTATGAGACCATAGTAGAAAGTTGGTATGATATACAACCCTTCACCTAACAGCAGGAGACCGAGAGAGAAAGCAGTGGTGGACATCACAGCAGAAGCAGCAAGGAGTGAGCACAGGGCTAACAGATTGGAAGAACTAGGTCACACACGGGGAATTTGAAAAAAAAAATAGGCCTAAGTCGATGGTGGGGGTCAGGAAAAACTATATGTCCGCGGACTGCAGTTATGTTGTGCACCAGGTATTCCCACTGTGTAACTATCACAGTTCCCACTGTATCAACATCAGTGGTCCAAGACTATTCATCTTACCAGAGGATATCAGAAACACTGCTGGAATGAGTGACGAACTCTTGAAGAGGGAACTGGACAAGTATTCTCACCAAGCCTGGTCACAGACCGGGCCGCGGGGGCGCTGACCCCCGAAACCCCCTCCAGGTATAGGCGCCATATCAACCAGGCTGTGATGGATATGTAGTTCTGTGGACCACCAGCAGCAACAGCCTGGTTGACCAGGAAAACACCTAACGAGCATGGCCCATGGCCGGGCTCCGAGAGCATATAGCTCTCAGTACTCATCAAAGATTCAAGACGGAAGGAAAGTCAGCAAATAAGAAGTTGGAATACCTGGCTGGAGAAGCAAACCAGGTCAGTATAAGATTCAATTCAAGTTTATTCTTTATAAGGGTTACAATGTGGGGGTTACAAGTTTTGGGTATTGTGTGGTTTACATGTTATAAAATACTAATTACAGAGGGGGCCACTAGGACACCTAGCATGGCTAGGCATTTCGAGCAGACTTAGATTAATTCTTAACATTAAATCCTTACAGATTATAGTATTAAGGCTAAGTGACTACATCATAATTTGTGAGTTTAGTAATGTGAATGCTTTTGTTTTGGCACAAAACAAAGTGTCTATATTTGAGTATCATAGGCAAACTTATGACTAGTTAGGATTTATTATTTTAAGATTAAGATTAGTATTTCTGTGTTTATAGTCAGTGGGTGAGTGAGTGTAATTGTGAACCACCAGGTGGTTACCATGTAGTTAGTTGTAGATAGTGTAAACAGTATAGGAGGAGAGACAAGAGCAGTGAAGTCAGAAGATCAAGCAGCAACGAGGCTGCGAGGATGAGGAGAGAGACAGAGAGAGACAATTTGAGGATGACACAGCAGGTAAACTCACGTCTGAATCAAAACTGCTTCACAGCCGCAATAGAAGAAAGACAACAGTGAAGATCAGTGATTCAACTGATGAAGGAAGGAGACGTCGTGACAAAATGACAAGGAACTTTGTGAGGTGTTCATCAGATGTTTTAATTAAGTAAGTCAGTTTATTCAGGTATACACAAATACAGTTACATAGATTATCATACATAGCAGCATATGTGTAGAGAACCTGGGATAACACAAAAAAGTCAAAGTGACTTATTTCCACTGGTGTTGCAACAAGTTGTGAAGCCTGTGACTGACACCTACAAGTTGTGAAGCCTGTGACTGACACCTACAAGTTGTGAAGCCTGTGACTGACATCTACAAGTTGTGAAGCCTGTGACTGACACCTACAAGTTGTGAAGCCTGTGACTGACATCTACAAGTTGTGAAGCCTGTGACTGACATCTACAAGTTGTGAAGCCTGTGACTGACATCTACAAGTTGTGAACCCTGTGACTGACACCTACAAGTTGTGAACCCTGTGACTGACACCTACAAGTTGTGAACCCTGTGACTGACACCTACAAGTTGTGAACCCTGTGACTGACACCTACAAGTTGTGAACCCTGTGACTGACACCTACAAGTTGTGAACCCTGTGACTGACACCTACAAGTTGTGAACCCTGTGACTGACACCTACAAGTTGTGAACCCTGTGACTGACACCTACAAGTTGTGATCCCTGTGACTGACACCTACAAGTTGATGAACCCTGTGACTGACACCTACAAGTTGTGTAACCCTGTGACTGACACCTACAAGTTGTGAACCCTGTGACTGACACCTACAAGTTGTGAACCCTGTGACTGACACCTACAAGTTGTGAACCCTGTGACTGACACCTACAAGTTGTGAACCCTGTGACTGACACCTACAAGTTGTGAACCCTGTGACTGACACCTACAAGTTGTGAACCCAGAGTTTCAAAGCTCCAGACCGTCGTGGGTTCTAACCCCGCCCGTGGTATGGTTTGTTTGCAATCGTCTCATTACGATTTCGATAGTCAAGTAACACAGATACCCACATCCCTCCATTACGAGATCCGACCGGTCGGCCGGAACCGAACTCTGACGTGAGTCGGGGAGGATCTTCCTGTACAAAGGAGTGGGAGAAACTTGAGGTGTTGGTAGGAATAACAGGGGACGTACAACAGTAGATCACAGAAGACCTTAGAGGGAACAAGTAGAATGATGGTGACATGTCAGAACAAGCTGGGGTGTTTGTGTGTCAGTCACCTGACACCTGTTATCCTTCTTCACCTAGTAGTAAATAGGTGCCTGGGTGTTAGTCACCTGGAATTTGTTTTCCCTCACATGCTTTTCTTGTGCTCCTGTTATTTTCCCCTGCCACTGTCCTTTTCCTCTTGCTCCTCTTCTTCTTCATGCTTCTTCTAGACCTCCTCTCCGTCATCCTGTTCCTCCTGCAGGCAGACTACCAGGATGGTGGTGGTGGTGGTGGTGGTGGTGGTGGTGGTGGTGGTGGTGGTGGTGGTGGTGGTGTGTGTGTGGTGTGTGTGTGTGTGTGTGTTGTGTGTGTGTAGCAGAGTGGGGCGGGCAGGCAGGTAGGAAGGCAGGAAGGTAGGATGGCATGCTGAAAGGAAGCTAGGCAGGCTTTCCAGCGGGCAGCTAGACAGGCAGGCTGCTAAGCAGGCAGGCAGGCAGGTAAGCAGGCTGGCATGCCGGAAGGAAGCTAGGCAGGCTGTTCAGCGGACAGCTAGACAGGCAGGCAAGCTGATAGGCAGGCAGTTAGGCAGGCTACTAGGCTGACTGGCAGGCAGGCAGGTAGGCTGCAGGCAAGCAGGCAAGCAGGCAAGCATGCTGGCAGGCAGGCAGGCTGGCTGGCTGGCAGGCAGGCTGGCTGGCAGGCAGGCTGGCTGGCAGGCTGGCAGGCAGGTTGGCAAGCTGGCAGACAGGTTGACAGACGGGCAGGCTGGCAGACAGGTTGACAGACAGGCAGGCAGACAGGCAGGCAGACAGGCAGGCTGGCAGGCAGGGTAGCTGCCACGGAAGTCGTTAACGTTGCCATCCTACACTTGCTCTTTGAACCTGACTCGCTCCACCGCGTCCACTAATTATCTTCCTCTCACATATTTACCATCTTGCTGCCACTCCTCTCCTTCCTTCAGTGTCTGGCTACTCCTCTCCTTCCTTCAGTGTCTGGCTACTCCTCTCCTTCCTTCAGTGTCTGGCTACTCCTCTCCTTCCTTCAGTGTCTGGCTACTCCTCTCCTTCCTTCAGTGTCTGGCTACTCCTCTCCTTTCTTCAGTGTCTGGCTACTCCTCTCCTTCCTCCTGTGTCTGGCTACTCCTCTCCTTCCTTCAGTGTCTGGCTACTCCTCTCCTTCCTTCAGTGTCTGGCTACTCCTCTCCTTCCTCAGTGTCTGGCTACTCCTCTCAATTCCTCCAGTGTCTGGCTACTCTTTCCTTCCTCCAGTGTCTGGCTACTCCTCTCATTCCTCCAGTGTCGGGCTGACTCACTCTTGCTTCCTTCAGTGTCTGCACTCCTCTCATTCCTCCAGTGTCTGGCTACTCCTCTTCTTCCTTCAGTATCTGGCTACTCTCTTCTTCCTCCAGTGTCTGGCTACTCCTCTCCTTCCCCCAGTGTCTGGCTACTCCTCTCCTTCCACCAGTGTCTGGCTACTCCTCTCATTCCTCCAGGTCTGGCTACTCTTCTCTTCCTCCAGTGTCTGGCTACTCCTCTCATTCCTCCAGTGTCTGGCTACTCCTCTTCTTCCTTCAGTGTCTGGCTACTCCTCTCATTCCTCCAGTGTCTGGCTACTCCTCTTCTTCCTTCAGTATCTGGCTACTCCTCTTCTTCCAGTGTCTGGCTACTCCTCTCCTTCCTCCATGTCTGGCTACTCCTCTCCTTCCTCCAGTGTCTGGCTACTCCTCTCCTTCCTCCAGTGTCTGGCTACTCCTCTCCTTCCTCCAGTGTCTGGCTACCTCTTCTTCCTTCAGTGTCTGGCTACTCCTCTCCTTCCTCCAGTGTCTGGCTACTCCTCTCCTTCCTCCAGTGTCTGGCTACTCCTCTCCTTCCTCCAGTGTCTGGCTACTCCTCTCCTTCCTCCAGTGTCTGGCTACTCCTCTCCTTCCTCCAGTGTCTGGCTACTCCTCTCTTCCTCCAGTGTCTGGCTACTCCTCTCCTTCCTCCAGTGTCTGGCTACTCCTCTCCTTCCTCCAGTGTCTGGCTACTCCTCTCCTTCCTTCAGTGTCTGGCTACTCCTCTCATTCCTCCAGTGTCTGGCTACTCCTCTTCTTCCTTCAGTATCTGGCTACTCCTCTTCTTCCTCCAGTGTCTGGCTACTCCTCTCCTTCCTCCAGTGTCTGGCTACTCCTCTCCTTCCTCCAGTGTCTGGCTACTCCTCTCATTCCTCCAGTGTCTGGCTACTCTTCTCCTTCCTCCAGTGTCTGGCTACTCCTCTCATTCCTCCAGTGTCTGGCTACTCCTCTTCTTCCTTCAGTGTCTGGCTACTCCTCTCATTCCTCCAGTGTCTGGCTACTCCTCTTCTTCCTTCAGTATCTGGCTACTCCTCTTCTTCCTCCAGTGTCTGGCTACTCCTCTCCTTCCTCCAGTGTCTGGCTACTCCTCTCCTTCCTCCAGTGTCTGGCTACTCCTCTCCTTCCTCCAGTGTCTGGCTACTCCTCTCCTTCCTCCAGTGTCTGGCTACTCCTCTTCTTCCTTCAGTGTCTGGCTACTCCTCTCCTTCCTCCAGTGTCTGGCTACTCCTCTCCTTCCTCCAGTGTCTGGCTACTCCTCTCCTTCCTCCAGTGTCTGGCTACTCCTCTCCTTCCTCCAGTGTCTGGCTACTCCTCTCCTTCCTCCAGTGTCTGGCTACTCCTCTTCTTCCTCCAGTGTCTGGCTACTCCTCTCCTTCCTCCAGTGTCTGGCTACTCCTCTCCTTCCTCCAGTGTCTGGCTACTCCTCTCCTTCCTCCAGTGTCTGGCTACTCCTCTCCTTCCTCCAGTGTCTGGCTACTCCTCTTCTTCCTTCAGTGTCTGGCTACTCCTCTCCTTCCTCCAGTGTCTGGCTACTCCTCTCCTTCCTCCAGTGTCTGGCTACTCCTCTCCTTCCTCCAGTGTCTGGCTACTCCTCTCCTTCCTCCAGTGTCTGGCTACTCCTCTTCTTCCTTCATGTCTGGCTACTCCTCCCTTCCTCAGTGTCTGGCTACTCCTCTCCTTCCTCCAGTGTCTGGCTACTCCTCTTCTTCCTTCAGTATCTGGCTACTTTCAACCGTCTTCTACCATCTGAGAAGTCTATATAATGGTTGAAAAGCCGTTATTAAGGTTGAAAAAAACGTTATTTCGGTTAAAAAGCCGTTATTTCGTTGAAAAAAACGTTATTTCGGTTGAAAAGCCGTTATTTCGTTGAAAAAAACGTTATTTCGGTTGAAAAGCCGTTATTATAGTTGGGTTGGTTGGAGCACCTGAGATGCCCTCGCCGCATGACTTTAACCTCTAAAGCATCCGGATATAAGGTCGATAACCCACCAAGGACTGGGTGTAAAGATGTCGCTCCTCCATTTTTGGTCCCACTGCTTAGTGAATTTATAAGAGGAGGGGAGTTGGTGGAGGAGAAAGAGGAGGAGGAGGAGGTGGAGGAGCAGGTGGAGGTGGAGGAGGAAGTGGTGGTGGTGGAGGAGGTGGAGGAGGCGGAGGTGGAGGTGGTGGAGGAGGAGTAGGAGGAGGTGGAGGAGGAGAAGGATGAGGTGGAGGAGGAGGAGGAGGAGGAGGAGGAGGAGGAGGAGGTGGAGGTGGAGGTGGAGGAGGAGGAAGTGGAGGAAGTGGAGGAAGAGGAGAAGGAGGTAGAGGAGGAGGTGGAGGAGAAGGTGGAGGAGGAGGTTCAGAGACCTCAAGGATGTTCCTGAAGGTCTGAAGTAACCGCCGAAGACCTAGTCAGGCCTCCACAAACCTCCGGAAACCTACAGAGACCACCGGAAGCCTCCAGAGACCACCTGAAGCTTCCAGAGACCACCGGAAACCTACAGAGATCACCGGAAACCTACAGAGACCACCGGAAGCCTCCAGAGACCACCTGAAGCCTCCAGAGACCACCGGAAACCTACAGAGATCACCGGAAACCTACAGAGACCACCGGAAACCTCAAGAGACCACAATAAAAAAACTAGAGAAACATCAGAGATTAGGAAAGAGTGAAGCAAGACCTCGTAGTAGCGTGAAGCAAGACCTCGTAGTAGAGTGAAGCAAGACCTCGTAGTAGCGTGAAGCAAGACCTCGAAGTATCGTGAAGCAAGACCTCGTAGTAGAGTGAAGCAAGACCTCGTAGTAGCGCGAAGCAAGACCTCGTAGTAGAGTGAAGCAAGATCTCGTAGTAGAGTGAAGCAAGACCTCGTAGTAGCGTGAAGCAAGACCTCGTAGTAGAGTGAAGCAAGATCTCGTAGTAGAGTGAGGCAAGACCTCGTAGTAGCGTGAAGCAAGATCTCGTAGTAGAGTGAAGCAAGATCTCCTAGTAGAGTGAAGCAAGACCTCGTAGTAGAGTGAAGCAAGACCTCGTAGTAGGGTGAAGCAAGATCTCGTAGTAGAGTGAAGCAAGATCTCGTAGTAGAGTGAAGCAAGATCTCGTAGTAGAGTGAAGCAAGACCTCGTAGTAGCGTGAAGCAAGATCTCGTAGTAGAGTGAAGCAAGACCTCGTAGTAGAGTGAAGCAAGACCTCGTAGAAGAGTGAAGCAAGATCTCGTAGTAGAGTGAAGCAAGATCTCGTAGTAGAGTAAAGCAAGACCTCGTAGTAGCGTGAAGCAAGACCTAGTAGTAGCGTGAAGCAAGATCTCGTAGCAGTAGAGAGTGAAGCAAGAGTGAAGCAAAATCTCGTAGAAGTAGAGAGTGAAGCAAGATCTCGTAGCAGTAGAGAGTGAAGCAAGATCTCGTAGCAGTAGAGAGTGAAGCAAGATCTCGTAGCAGTAGAGAATGAAGCAAGATCTCGTAGCAGTAGAGAGTGAAGCAAGATCTCGTAGCAGTAGAGAATGAAGCAAGATCTCGTAGCAGTAGAGGGTGAAGCAAGAGTGAAGCAAGATCTCGTAGCAGTAGAGTGAAGCAAGACCTCGTAGCAGTGGAGAGTGAAGCAAGACCTCGTAGCAGTAGAGAGTGAAGCAAGACCTCGTAGCAGTAGAGAGTGAAGCAAGATCTCGTAGCAGTAGAGAATGAAGCAAGATCTCGTAGCAGTAGAGGGTGAAGCAAGAGTGAAGCAAGATCTCGTAGAAGTAGAGTGAAGCAAGACCTCGTAGCAGTGGAGAGTGAAGCAAGACCTCGTAGCAGTAGAGAGTGAAGCAAGACCTCGTAGCAGTGGAGAGTGAAGCAAGACCTCGTAGCAGTAGAGAGTGAAGCAAGACCTCGTAGCAGTAGAGAGTGAAGCAAGACCTCGTAGCAGTAGAGTGAAGCAAGACCTCGTAGCAGTAGAGAGTGAAGCAAGACCTCGTAGCAGTAGAGAGTGAAGCAAGATCTCGTAGCAGTGGAGAGTGAAGCAAGACCTCGTAGCAGTAGAGTGAAGCAAGACCTCGTAGCAGTAGAGAGTGAAGCAAGACCTCGTAGCAGTAGAGAGTGAAGCAAGACCTCGTAGCAGTAGAGAGTGAAGCAAGACCTCGTAGCAGTGGAGAGTGAAGCAAGACCTCGTAGCAGTAGAGAGTGAAGCAAGACCTCGTAGCAGTAGAGAGTGAAGCAAGACCTCGTAGCAGTAGAGAGTGAAGCAAGACCTCGTAGCAGTAGAGAGTGAAGCAAGACCTCGTAGCAGTAGAGAGTGAAGCAAGACCTCGTAGCAGTAGAGAGTGAAGCAAGACCTCGTAGCAGTAGAGAGTGAAGCAAGACCTCGTAGCAGTAGAGAGTGAAGCAAGACCTCGTAGCAGTGGAGAGTGAAGCAAGACCTCGTAGCAGTAGAGAGTGAAGCAAGACCTCGTAGCAGTAGAGAGTGAAGCAAGACCTCGTAGCAGTAGAGTGAAGCAAGACCTCGTAGCAGTAGAGAGTGAAGCAAGACCTCGTAGCAGTAGAGAGTGAAGCAAGATCTCGTAGCAGTGGAGAGTGAAGCAAGACCTCGTAGCAGTAGAGTGAAGCAAGACCTCGTAGCAGTAGAGAGTGAAGCAAGACCTCGTAGCAGTAGAGAGTGAAGCAAGACCTCGTAGCAGTAGAGAGTGAAGCAAGACCTCGTAGCAGTGGAGAGTGAAGCAAGACCTCGTAGCAGTAGAGAGTGAAGCAAGACCTCGTAGCAGTAGAGAGTGAAGCAAGACCTCGTAGCAGTAGAGAGGAAGCAAGACCTCGTAGCAGTAGAGAGTGAAGCAGACCTCGTAGCAGTAGAGAGTGAAGCAAGACCTCGTAGCAGTAGAGAGTGAAGCAAGACCTCGTAGCAGTAGAGAGGGTCATATCCCATTCGTGTTGGCATCCGCTCAGGCAATTACCACCCTAATGTGACTGTATCACAAGGGCGAGAAGTGAGCAGAAGCTGCCGGGTGAGGGAGGGAGAGAGGGAGTTTAGAATATAACTTGACTCCTTGCCAAAATAGAGAGAAGGATAGGAAGAGAGAGAGGAAGAGAGAGAGAGAGAGAGAAGAAGAGAGAAGAGAAGAAGAGGAGAGAGAGAGAGAGAGAGAGAGAGAGAGAGAGAGAGAGACAGACAGACAGACAGACAGACAGACAGATAGACAGACAGAGAGAGACAGAGAGAGACAGAGAGTAATAGGTAAAACTTGCGATTCTGGCTTAAATAGCAACGCTCTTCTTGCCGAATAAGACAAGTGAAAATTTGTGTATGCAATAATTTCGCAAAAATCATCCTGAATCTAACGAAAAAAAATATATTTCATTGTGTTTGTTTATTATTAAATTATTGTAAACTTATCTAAAATATATTTAGTTGGATTAGGCTGAATTAAATTGCGCTTGTTATAATAAGGTCAGGCAAGTTTTCTAAGGCTCTTTTGGTACAAAATTATTCAACACGACATGTATATATATAATATATATATATATATATATATAATCTATAAAATATATATATTATATATATATATATATATATATATAATATATATATATATATATATAATATATATATAAATATTTAAAGAGTTTTTGAGTAATGTTTTACAAATTTTGAGTTATTCTATCAATGTTCTTAACAAAAATTTGCTTCCATCATATTTATTTTGTTTTAATTCCATCTTTACTCCCTCACCTTTCATCTTCCTTCTTCTCTTCTTTCTCCATTTCTTATCCCCCTCCCATCACTACTCCCTGTTATCGCCCCTCCCATCACTACTCCCTGTTATCCCCCTCCCATCATCTACTCCCTGTTATCCCCCTCCCATCATCTACTCACTGTTATCCCCCTCCCATCATCTACTCCCTGTTATCCCCCTCCCATCATCTACTCCCTTTATCTCCCTCCCATCATCTACTCCCTGTTATCTCCTCCCATCACTACTCCCTGTTATCCCCCTCCCATCATCTACTCCCTGTTATCCCCTCCCATCATCTACTCCCTGTTATCTCCCTCCCATCATTTACTCCCTGTTATCCCCTCCCATCACCTATTCCCTGTTATCCCCCTCCCATCACCTACTCCCTGTTATCCCTCTCCCATCACCTTCTCCCTGTTATCCCCTCCCATCATCTACTCCCTGTTATCCCTCTCCCATCATCTACTCCCTGTTATCCCCCTCCCATCATCTACTCCCTGTTATCTCCTCCCATCATCTACTCCCTGTTATCTCCTCCCATCATCTACTCCCTGTTATCTCCTCCCATCATCTACTCCCTGTTATCTCCCTCCCATCATCTACTCCCTGTTATCCCCCTCCCATCACTACTCCCTGTTATCCGCCCTCCCATCATCTACCCCTGTTATCCCCTCCCATCATTTACTCCCTGTTTTTCCCCCTCCCATCATCTACTCCCTGTTATTCCCCTCCCATCATCTACTCCCTGTTATCCCCCTCCCATCATCTACTCACTGTTATCCCCCTCCCATCATTACTCCCTGTTATCCCCCTCCCATCATCTACTCCCTGTTACCCCCCTCCCATCATCTACTCCCTGTTATCCCCCTCCCATCATCTACTCCCTGTTATCCCCCTCCAATCACCTACTCCCTGTTATCCCCCTCCCATCATTTACTCCCTGTTATCCCCCTCCCATCATCTACTCCCTGTTATCCCCCTCCCATCACCTACTCCCTGTTATCCCCCTCCCATCACCTACTCCCTGTTATCTCCCTCCCATCATCTACTCCCTGTTATCTCCCCTCCCATCATTTACTCCCTGTTATCCCCTCCCATCACCTATTCCCTGTTATCCCCCTCCCATCACCTACTCCCTGTTATCCCTCTCCCATCACCTACTCCCTGTTATCCCCTCCCATCATCTACTCCCTGTTATCCCCCTCCCATCATTTACTCCCTGTTATCCCCCTCCCATCACCTACTCCCTGTTATCCCCCTCCCATCATCTACTCCCTGTTATCCCCCTCCCATCATTTACTCCCTGTTATCCCCTCCCATCATTTACTCCCTGTTATCCCCCTCCCATCACCTACTCCCTGTTATCCCCTCTCCCATCACCTACTCCCTGTTATCCCCTCCCATCATCTACTCCCTGTTATCCCCCTCCCATCATTTACTCCCTGTTATCCCCCTCCCATCACCTACTCCCTGTTATCCCCCTCCCATCACCTACTCCCTGTTATCCCCCTCCCATCACCTACTCCCTGTTATCCCCCTCCCATCATCTACTCCGTTATCCCCTCCCATCATTTACTCC